CTGGAAATGAGTGTCAACGTTTTGAAAATTCAGAAACAAATTCAACTGGCTTAATGTAGCTGCTATTTGGAGAGTAGGGCGATCTGGTGAAGGGATGCTAGAAAAGCCGAAGGTCGAAGGGCTTACCATATTCGAAGCTGATGTTTGGGGATCTCCAATATTCGTTGAATCTTGCTCGTGGCGCTGGGACGAGCTGGAAAAAGATCTCAGCGACATGGAGGCTGATCCTGCCGAAGAATTCAAGTGCGACATGCGGCTGAGGAGAGAGTGAAGTGCTGAAGCGCCAGTTGTACCAAGAAGACGAGATGGCGAGGAAGGTGATTAGATGTTCGAGATCGCACACAACAGTCTATTAGATCAAATGAAAGTGGTTGATTAGAATCGGACCAGAAAGCAGGTGAAGAATAGAAGAGGGAAATGGCCTAGAAGAGAAGACGTACTCGAAGTTTTGGGCCAGAGCTGCTACAGAGCAAGCAGGACCAGATGGAGAGAGTGAGATGACAAGAAAGGGAAAGCAAGATCCTGGAATTAGAAGAATATCGACAGGTTACTACAGCAGAAGCTGAAAAAGGCAAGATGAAAGGAAAGGCTCGAGTGAAGATCGATGTGTAATGTAGAGGAGAGAAAGAGAGAGTGGAGGTATTGTGGGAGGGAAGAAACGGACTGGGTGAGTTTGGAAGTTGAAAGAAAGTTTTTGAGGGAAGGTCAGGCGGAGGTTTAAGAGAAATGCGCCTGAGGAAACGGTGTGCGCACAATAAGTCGGGAAGGTTTATTGCTGTAGGCGAAGCCAGCGGCACCAATAGGCATGGCCAGCAGGACAATAGGCCTTGGTCTCCTCATCCTGTGCTCACTGCATTATGGACTCGAGTTTTTTTTTAGACCAATCTCTAAAATTGCACCTTCTTGCCATTCTCTCCAAGTCTTTCGCGTGGCAGGTATGGAAGCATGCCACTCACCTCGAGGTCACCTCAAGGTCACTGATCAGGCCAACACCACTCACCTTACCTGGCGCCTAGCCCAGTAACGCTCCAGCTACATCGTTCAGTGTATCCCATCTTTCTGCCTCAAGGGAGCCACTAATGGCTTCTACTCACGGTGTCAGTCCATGTTATAGGCATGATCAAAGGGAGTCACGGATCCAGCTCTCGTCCAAGTTGAACAAGGCTACCTACCTAGTCACTGGATACAAGGTTATCAGCTCCCCATGAATCACTGCTTTTTGAGGCCCGGAATAGTGGTTGGTATAACAAATATTGATACAGCAATGCCATAACGTGCATATATAATCGCATGCAAATATGTACCTCCTGGCGATAGAGTCTTCCCAACGCCCAGAAATACATTCCCATATCGTACATAAATCGGATATCATCGCATGTTGTATGGTAACCTCTAAGATTTTCCCAATTCGTGACAGTAAGTCTTGGCTTATCGCCTCTTGCCTCCAGCACCCGGTTTCGCTATGTAATGTTAGCCTGTGGATATCCAACAAAGATCGGCGAAGGGGGCTATGATTCGTACTCGTAGGAGGAGCCGACTTCTTTTTGGGCGCGCCCTTTCCACGCTCTTTCAATCTGGGGTCTCAGTGTCAGCCCACAGCCAAGTTACCTCGGGATTGGAATTATCATACTCGTCAATGTACTCGGTTCGATCCTCCTCGGTGTCCTCCCATGTATCCAGGCCAGGCCCAAACTCTTGCCTCACATCCTTGATCGTGGCCACTCTCCTCGGGTAGTACGCGGCAAGTGCAGGTCCTCGGAGTCGTTGGCGTAGGACCTTGTTGCCCATGCGTACGCCATCTGGGTTGAAGTTCGTCGCGAAGACTTGGCATTGAGCCTGCAATTGGTTAGCTAGAGGATAATTCTGCGAGGGGAATAGAAGCTGTACCTTCATCAAATCCAGGAGTCTGGCCCGCGGAACGCTCATGGTGAGATCTTGGAGAGCATATATATTTTGGATATATGCTGGACAATGGACCTTGAGGCTCAAAATTGAGATGGTGTTTGTCCAGCGCCTGGTTGGCGGGAAAGCGCGAAAAGTGGAGCGTTAGTGGTCAAGCCGCATGTGGCGTATCTTCACTTATCGCTACCAACTCAGACTTGGATTTTCCATCAAGAAAGAAGAAACATGGTAATAAATCACAGCCAAATCTCCTAATCTTGTTTTTCTTATTATTTTTCATAGTTTGAATATCTTTCTGTAACACCTGGTCAATATGACCAAACGCGATCTGCCAGAGTCCCCCATCCAATCAAGCAAACGACTTCGAACCTCTGTTGATGACACTGGAGCGCTCCTTCAGCTAATTGAGAATGCCGAGGAGCTTACGCATTGCCTACAGTCCTTAACAGAGTGGAAAGATGATGTTTCTCGGAAAAGTGGCCAGACACAAACAAATCCTTCTTTTGTTCGAGTGAGAGAGCAACTTGCTGAGCTTAGCAAAAAGTTAAGCCCTGTTTTTCAACAGCTGGACCCTTCACAAAATGCTCACGATAGCGAAGTCAAGGTATGTGCAATATCCAACTAAATGCGATGTCATATCATTAAACTTTCTCGTGCTAGACTGTTTCTGATGCTGAAAGCTCGGTCAAAAAGTCTCAAAAAGACACCGGAAGCATGATTCCCTGCCCTCCTCCACTTCTTGCAGCCTGGCACGCCTCTGAGATACCATCCCAGTTACCACCACTCCCCAAAATCAATGATTCCCGAATTGAGATTCAAACATTCCGACACCCTGGGATGGCAAATATCTCCAGGGGCGAGTTAAGTTACGAGCGATTAGAGTGGCTTGGCGATGCCTACCTGGAGGCCATCGCCTCAAACCTTATCTACCAAAGCTTTCCAAATTTGCCGGTCGGAAAGTGCTCTCAAATACGAGAGCAGCTGATCCGCAATATGACTCTTGCGGAATACTTCAGAAGCTACAACCTAATGCAACAAGCTCAAATACCACCCTCCGTCCAGTCCAACCTGCAGCCTGGCAAAGGTAGATCTGCGGACAAAGACTTGGTGAAGGTTCAAGCCGACATGTTCGAGGCTTATGTTGCTGCGATTATTATCACAAATCCTCAGAACGGTGTGATGCAAGCGTCAAGCTGGCTGAGGGGACTGTTCTCAAGGACCATCAAGGACCAAATAGTCAAATCGGAAATCACAGCACCACGGATAATCACGGAACCGAAACAAAAGCTAGCCCAGCTGTTAGGCGCCAAGGGTGTAGAGATCAGCTATGAAGATATGCCAACCCATAAGAAACACAAACAGTTGAACCTTCCGATGTTTGCAATTGGCGTTTACCTCACTGGCTGGGGGGAACAGCACAAACTGTTAGGCATAGGGACCGCCACAGGAAAGAAGGAAGCTGGCAACAAAGCCGCCATAGTGGCATTAGAGAACAGAAAACTCATGAAGGTGTACGAGCAGAAGAAGAAGGCATTTATGGAGGCTCAAGCGCAGGCACAACCTACGCCTCCAAGTGGGTGAAAAGAAACGTGGCACACCAAAGCTCTTCACGCGTAAGGCAGGGACTTCGTTTTTACCAAACACAATAATAAAAGAATAATAAGAGAATAATAAACTATTCTATGATATATAGCTTGGTATTGTATTCAGTACTGGGTTATTTTTGGTGATATTGTGTTGGAATTTAATGCTGAATTCTCTCGATGTGCCCAAACGATATATCACAGACCCGGGAGAGGGGCTTCATTGGATTGAAGCAGAAACTAACAGCGTAGCGAGCCAATAAAAATAGAGGGCTCAAATTAGTGGGACAGGAAGCATTAGTTATACACATAAGACAGAGGCCTGATATTCTTATCACGAAGGAGGGCAAGTGGGTGAAATAAAGCATGGCACTTCATCATAGACGGCTAGAGAGGGAAGGGAGTGAGGTGGGCCTCGGCAATGCACCCCAGATTTCAAGCATACCTAATAACTACCACTCCTAATACCTAAAGGGGAGACCGAGTGTGGGATAAATTTAGTAAACGACTTGGACTGGTTACCTGCCCACATCTTGTAAAAGACATTGTTTGGCTCACTGGATGGTCTTAGCAATTCACGTGGGAGGATGCTAGCTAGTTGCTACAGCGTCAGACCAAACATGCAGCCAGACACCTCCATTCACTAAATTAGCAGGTGTCTACCTACCTACCTACTTAGAAGGGTGTATCCCTTCACGTGTCACCGAGAAAGAAGGTCAGGAATTAGGAGGACATCCAGGAGATAATTCAATAAAAGACTGCATGAGGCACTGGCATGCATAAAGGCAGCCGTAGTGTGCGAAATTTGATGCATGAAGCTCATTTTAGCCTCTGTGCTGACCGACAGCAAAACCATTGAGTCCTGTCCGTGGATGGATTGGGAAGATAAGGCCAAAGCCAACAATTTCCAGGTACCAGTATCCAGCATCAGAATTCAGGAAGGAACCTGAACGGCTGGAGCAAGTGGCCCCGAAAAAGAAGGGACCAACCTGCTGAAGCGTCGCTACAGAACGATCGTTACAGAAGCTGCCCGCAGATGACGTGGGGTCCGACAGGGCGGGAAGTGTGGGCCCCCACAGCCTGTAGGCCTCGATGTGAGCGCGGGTTCCTTGCTCCTGGCCCTTTATCCGAGCTGTGTCGCATCTCATATTTGCGCCGAGGCACATCGCCTGGTTGCAGTTTACCACCCATCCCGTCCCATCTGATTGCCCATGTTGTTCCCAGCATAATTATCCCAATTTTCTATAGACCTCGAGTCGGAGCCGTCTCGCTCCAATCGACCCAAAGGACCGTCGACAGCAAATGCCGGTTTTCCATCCAGCCCAGCTGCCTGCTCTGGATTGCTTGCCGTGCAGATACTAGCCTGTCGTTATCTCCATCATTGACCCGCGGGGCGTTTGCCCGAACTCGGTCCCTGTCGTCTCTCCAACCCAAGCACCCTTCTCTGAGCCAGCCTTGGCACGATAGTATCATATTCCTCCCCTCGGTTATCTTCAAACCCAACTCACAATCACGATGGCGGACTCCGTAGGTAAGTGCATCCCAGAATAAGGAGTATTTCTCCTTATCAGTCCACTAACAATTGCTTAGACCGGGTCTTCGTCCATGCGTTGAACACCGTCAAGAAGATTCCCAAAACAGGCGCGTCACGTCCACCGCCTGCCGACCGCCTTCGTCTCTATGGCCTCTACAAACAAGCTATGGAGGGTGATGTTGATGGCGTGATGGAGCGACCCTGGTCAATGCCCGGCGCCTCGATGGAAGACTTGCAAAAAGAGAAGGATAAATGGGATGCGTGGAATTCACAAAGAGGCTTGAGCCGGACAGAGTCGAAACGCAGATATGTGGAGGCGCTGATTGACACGATGCATCGCTACGCAACTACACCGTACGACGCATCCCATTTGCCCCCTGAGCTTGGATTGGTCGATGGCTAACAAGGCATTGGGTGTACAGGGACGCCAGAGAACTCGTGACGGAGCTGGAATTCGTCTGGAACCAGATCAAGCACAACTCTCCCACTGCATCTGATGCATCCCCCAAAGCCAGCACCACGTCGCGACGATTCGAGGAACCGCCACACGATGACGACGCACCGATGAGGGTCTTGAACCCCATGAGCGAACTAGATGAAGCAGAGAGGCGATCACAGAAGCTCATGGAGATGGACGACGAGGACGATGAGGACGCGGGACACGCCATTGCCAGAAGCAGCAACCGGTGGCAGCGGACTGTCGAGCGAGCACTTACGAATCTGTCCGCCGAGGTTGCTGCATTACGAGAGCAGATTACAGCAGGAAGGGAATGGAGGTCCAAGAAACAACGCAGCTTTCCGGCGTGGATAGAATGGCTGTCCTGGGCAGTATTGAAGCACCTTGTCGTCGATTGCTTCGTTCTTGGGTTGGTTTTACTATGGATGCGGAAACGCAAGGACAGGCGACTTGAGGATTTGGTCAGAGCAGCATTAACACTCATCCGGGAGTATGTGCGAAACATCCTCCCTTCAAGGTGACGATGAAGCCCTTGGTACTGGAACAAGATCTCGCCTGCAGATTTGATGTGCTTTTGGACAAGTTGCTACCTCTCGACTACCAGGGCAACAGTTCACTATGTGCTTTCTCGTGTTGAACCCTCACGGGAGCTTTCCGAAAAATGCAGAGCAGTCCGACAACATCGGAAACGGCCAACGCTTCCGGATTTCAGTACCAACCGTCCGTCCGGTTTAGATGATCCTGTCATCTAGCAATAATGACGCCATACATTGATGATTAACAATCTAGCGCTCGAGACGAGTGTCAGAATTAACGACACGGTTTTTATCATTCATTATAATCATTACTCAACCTATATTTGATTTTGTCTGCCACTTTTGGAAAGGGTTTATTTCCTACGTCCGAGGGTGGCCGATAATATCACCGTGTATCAAGCCCAACCAACATTTTTATCGCATCTTCAAAGGGGCCAATGTCAATAGGCATGTTACATCAACGTATATAAACATTACATAGCAAACTCAATGAATCTAAATTAATCTATAGAAGCTCACTGTACTTATTATTATTATTTAAATTCCGTCGCACGCTTTATTTGCCAAACCAAACTGATAACAGCATGTATCGGTACATGAGGTAGGTAGGTGGTGCCGTGGAACGACAGATCCTTCTAACTAACACAACAACCTCAACTGAAGGCGAAAAAACAACATCATCCTTCACAACAATCATATCCTAGGCATATCAGTGATATCCACTAAATAAGATACGCCAATTGACTTTCTCTCCTGACCTCACGGTTCCCTAAGTGCAAAAGACAGGGACATCCAAGGTATTGAAAGTACACAGCCAAGAAAACCACCCAAACATGGCTCACCAAAACAAAGCACCACAACAACAACCACAGCCACAGCCCCAACCCCAGCAACAACAACCAGCCTCATCGATCCCAATCCTCCACAGCATCGCGCCGGCCATCTTCACCCGGATAACGGACGAGGACCTCCTCGCCCCATTCACACCCCCCTCCGACCCCGTCGACCTGCTCAGAACCAGGCTCCGGGAGATCGAGGCCCACACCGAGGAGGTCCGCGCCAACCTCCTCAGCCTCTTCCGGCGCGAGTGCCTCCGCATCATCCAGGAGGCCGAGGCGCAGGAGGCCGCCGCCGCCGCCGAGGACAGCAACACGACGGTGCACCTCGCGCCCTTAGTCTCCCAGCAGGAGGTCGACGACATGATCGGCAACATGAGGCGGAACACGGGCGAGGCCCGCGAGAGGTCGCTGAGCAGGGTGCTCATCCAGAACAACATCTTCGGGCAGCCCAACATGAACGTGCTGCCGATGAGGAACCCGAGGGAGGCGGCCGTGGCGCAGATCCAGGCCGTCATCAGCCAGGGGCTGTGCGATCTCGAATCGTACAGGACCAAGGTGGAGGAGCTCAAGCAGCAGATCAAGAGCGAGATCGACAGGGTTACGCGGAGACAGGGCACGGATCGGATGGACTTGAGTTTTTGAGGGGGGGTTGGCACGACTAGTAACGACTTTTTACGCAGAGAAAATTTGGAATGGCACGCCTGATCGGCTCGGAGAGATATTATGAAAAGTTTCTTTAATGCACCTATACCTCTAGCCCGACATCCTATATGTACAAGCGAGACGAACAGCCCAGAATCGACAAGGAAAGTAATATTCTTCTTATAACAGTTTTTATGCCCTCGACCTCATGCTCCATACTCAACCTGGCCTTGGGGCCTATCCTCCTCGATACCAGGAGCCATCAGGTTCGTCCTGGGGTCTCCGGTCTCCTTTGCCGCCGCACACCGTGCCATCGTCGGCGAGCTGTTCTCATAGTTAGCCACTAGTCTTTGGAAGAAGTAGAGGAAGCGGGGTTATTGACTGACCTTCTGGAAATGACGTCTGTGAAATAGAATGACTCGATGGCCTTCTTGAGGGGCTCTCCCGTAGCCTTGGCTCCCTTGTTCTGGTCAACGAGCTGGACCTTGCTCAAGTTCTTCAGAGCAACGGGCTCAACGATATCGTAGGCAGCCAGAGCCGGGCTGATCTCGGCCATGCGGTCACGGACAGCAGCCACATCGTCGTAAGGTAGCTTGACGCCGAGGAATTCACCGGCGGCTCGGAGGATCTTCCAGTCAGTGCGGGCAGCACCGGGCAGGGAAGTAGCAGCACGGGTCATCTGGACACGGCCTTCTGTGTTGATGTAGGTACCAGCCTTCTCAGTGTAGGCAGCACCAGGGAGGACAATGTCGGCGATTTGAGCACCGCGGTCACCGTGGTGACCCTGGTAAACGACGAAAGCATCCTTGGGAATATCGGCCTCGTTGATCTCATCGGCACCGAGGAGCCAGACAAACTTGGGGGTGGTCTCAGCAACGGCAGCAGAAGGAGTCACGAAGCCGACCTCGAAAGCACCGGCACGGGAAGCCTCGCGCTGGAGGATGTTGAAACCATCCCACTCCTCAGTCCTGAAGTTGGCAGCGTGCTTGTCCACGAAGGTACCAACGGTCTCGTAAAAGGCCTTGGCATCAACGTGGTCGGTCACACCAGATCCAAGAACGATCATGGGTCGCTTAGCAGCCTGGAGCTTCTTGCCAAAGGGTCCGGCAAGAGCCTTCTTCAGAGCGGCGTGATCGGTACCGAGGTGCTCAAAGTCGAAGGTGGACTCCCACGACTCTCCGACAACACCGATCTCGAGATCAGATCGGAGCCATTGCTTGCGGATGCGAGCGTTGAGAACAGCGGCCTCATGGCGAGGGTTGGTACCAACCAGGAGGATGGCATCAGCCTCTTCGATACCGGAGATTCTGGAGTTGAACAGGTAGTTTGAGCGAATGTCGACACCGTGAGCGAGGGGCTGGCTGCCAGTGGGGGTATCAAGAGCAAGATTCTCGGATCCAAGCTTGTTAGCCAAGTCCTTGGCCACAACCAGAGACTCGACCTCGGTCAGGGCACCAGCGATGACCTTGAACTCGTTGCCCTGGGGCTTCTTCTCTTGGAAGACCCGAGAGACGATAGTCAGGGCCTCCTCCCAGTCAGCAGGCTCAAACTTGCCCTCACGTCGAACCAGAGGCATGGTAAGTCGTTGTGTCTTGAGACCATCACAAGCAAATCGGGTCTTGTCGTTAATCCATTCCTCGTTAACATCGTCATTGAGACGGGGGAGAACACGCATAACCTCAAGGCCACGAGAGTCCACACGAATGTTTGAACCAAGACCATCTAGAACATCGATAGATTCGGTGTGCTTCAGCTCCCAGGGACGAGCGCGGAATGCGTAGGGCTTGGAGGTGAGGGCACCAACAGGGCAAAGGTCAATGACGTTTCCGGAAAGCTCACTGTCAAGGTTCTTCTCGAGGTAGGTGCCAATCTGGATGTCATTACCACGGCCAGTTGAACCAAGCTCAGGGGCGCCAGCAATATCGTTTGCAAATCGAATACACCGGGTGCAGTGGATGCATCGGTTCATGGATGTCTTAATCAGAGGGCCAATATTCTTGTCTTCAACGGCACGCTTTCCGCCGGTCTCGTGAAATCGTCCTCGGTCGGCACCGTATCGTAATGACTGTTCCTGGAGATCGCACTCACCACCCTGGTCGCAGATGGGACAGTCGAGAGGGTGATTGGCGAGGAGAAACTCCATGACACCTTCACGGGCTTTGTGGGTGAGAGGAGAGTTAGTCTTGACGACCATGCCGGGCTGGACAGGCCAGGCACAAGAAGCAACAGGCTTGGGAGCACGTTCGACCTCGACCAAGCACATGCGGCAGTTACCGGCAATTGCCAGTTTCCTTGGTATTTGTCAGTTCGGTTCGACGGGTACGACGGAAGCAGGGAGGGCATACTCATGGTAGCAGTATCTGTGGCATGCCTGTTAGCTAGAGATTTGAATTGGGATATATCTTTCTGGACATACCGAGGGACTGTGGCACCGGCTTTTTCGCAAGCCTGGATGAGGGCGGCACCAGCTAAATCGCGTCAGTCAGTGAGGCCCAAAGCGCCCACGCAAGCAGTACTCCGTACCTTCGATTGACACCTTCTTTCCATCTGTGAGTCAATTAGTCAATATCTACCGTCCAATGGCTCAATGGACGACGAATGCTCACCAATTGTTAACTCCACCTCGGCAGGGCGCTGGGATGTGGTCGCAAATGTACGGGACACGGTGGCGGCCCGCCGGCCGGTCCGCCAAGCCGAACGTGCCAGAGACTGTCGGAGCATCGTGTCGCCTTGACGGAGATGTAGGTGACGACGCTGGACGCGGGGTGAGAGGATGGGTTCGTTGACGTAGCAAACGAGGGATCTTCGAGCAGTTTGGCTCTCGGGTGATGGGATTTGGTGGTGCTTAGTAACTTTTGGCTGCTCGATTAATTTACATGCGCTGTGATTGGCCAGAGCTCGGAGCGTTGGTGCCTCAGGCATCACGGGTGCATCAAATACTCCGGAATTTGTCGCTAGCTTTTTCTGTTTCCTCTTTCTCCCCATATTGTACACGGGCACACTTTATTGTAGGTGAGCTTGAACACCGATCTTGACCGGTTGTCTCAGTCGAGTCTTCCTCTATCTTGTGCTCTAGAGTAATTTGCGCCGATTTATTTTAAAGCATGGGAGAGATTTAATTGCTCTATGAGCGATGCTCGTAACAGTCGGTCGTGACATATCCTGGATATCCAACGCTGTGAATGTGATGTGATGAACTGAGTTGTGGTGAATCGTTCAATGATGGCTACCTTATACTACAATCTGTCGTCCTGGCTGGAAAGCTCCCTAGGAGCTACAGCTACACTGCATTGCTCGCTCAAATCTGGGCACATCACCCGTCCATCTCTTCTCCTCTTCCAAATCGCCCTTCCATTGCTTTCCGTCGAACGACTCTCCATCCCACTTATCCTCGAATGGGTGCAATGCCATGTGCATAATACGATTGAGCACATCTCTCTCCCCATCTTTCTCGACCCGTCGAATCAATTCGTCGAGGATCCATCCACGGGGAATAAAGTTGGGATTGGCCTGCCTCATCGCTTCGATTCTCTTGGCATCTTGGGCTGCTGCATCAGCACCGTCTGTTACCCAATCCTCAATAATACGGCTTCTCCATGAATCCAGCCAAGCGGCTATCTTCTCCCGGGCCTCGGTTTCGTCCACAAGCTTGGGTGGGCCTTCGCTGTGGAAAAACACCGAGGCCTTTGCCTTCCTGGCGTCTGGGGTCGCAATCTCATCAAGTCTGATATTGCTCAAGCGGCGGAAGAAATGAGTGAAGTCCAATTCCAGACCCTCCATAGTATCAAGGGCCTCGCTGAACAGATTGTCAAAGTCCGATTCTTTGTGTTGGCGAAGTCCAAGCCGGGCCGACATTAGCCTCTTGTACTCGGCCAGGAAGACGGATTTGAACTCTTCGCCAGCTTGTGTAATAAGCTTTTCTGCGCGGGCAACTATTTCCTTCTCCTGGCCCTCCTTGACGCCCTCCGCCTCAAAAGTTGGGTCGTCGACGAGAGATCCAGCCCCGAGGAGCTCACCTAAAGCTTCACCAAGTCTAACGAGATTCCACCAGATGATGGTAGGCTGGTTCTTGTAACTGTAGCGGAGATTATAGTCGTCATGGTTAGGGGTGTACGCGGGATCGAAATTATCCATGAATGCAAACGGACCGTAGTCAATGGACAATCCGTACACAGAAGTATTGTCGGTGTTCTAGAAACGCATGAGCTTCAGATCTTCATTTTTAATATTTGGGGCTATACATACCAAAACTCCATTCATAAAGCCATAGGCTTGCCAGTTGGCGACCGTCACGGCATTCCGTCTTACAATTTCTCTGTAAAGCCTGGTGAATCTATTCTCGGTTCCATCATTGGGGCCTTGATTCTCAGACGCCGGTACTCCTCTCGTCGGCGGTGGTGATTCCCTGGGGTTGTCTGGGTCGTCCAACCGGCCAGGCAAAGCTTCCCAGCCGCCAAAAACATCCTCTGCGATGTAAGTCGATAGCTTTCGAATTAGGGCACGATCACCCCGGGCTCGAAGGAGATCGAAGCTTCCCAGCCGTAACCACGAAGGAGCATAGCGTAGAACAATGGCTCCAGGCTCGATCCTCTCCCGGGCAACCTTGGAATGCGGCAATAATGTGAGAGAAAGCGCTCTAGTAGTCGGGATCTTGAGTGCATTGAGGGCTTCTGAGACAACAAACTCTCGAATGCTGGATCTTAAGACAGCTTTGCCATCCGCAAAGCGAGAGTAGGGTGTCATTCCAGCACCCTTGAGTTGCAACTCGAACCTTTGTTTCGTGGCAGGATTTGTGGCCTCGAACAACGAAATAACTCTTCCGTCTCCCAACTGCCCAGCCCACTGCCCAAACTGAAAGCCTCCATAGCACTGAGACCAAGGATAGCCTCCTTGCAGCTTCTCATAGTCCCATCCATAGAGCCGGTTCCCCGCCACCAGCTGCTTAAATTCCTCCGAATTTGCCTCCTCAGCTTTGAGTCCCAGATCACGCAGCGCAGCAGGGCTGACTGCAAGAAGCTCCGGGTCCTTCTGCTCCTCGGGGCGCACCCACGAAAACAGGGCGCCGCGAACTTGCCTTGGTCCGATCTTATCTCTGGGCGTCTTGTGCGAATCAGCAGGAGTTGGGAACTGAGGGTCCGGGGGAAGAGCCTCAGTGAAACGCCATGATTTGGGCAGCTCCTCCAGCGAAACACCCAGAGTAGACATGCTTCTGGATATTGGCGGAGTCGCGGGTTGACCCAGCCTAGTGGCCACCGGATGCAGAGCGCGCGCTGTCTGGTGTATCCTAGAGGCTGCGCAACGAAGCATCTACCCTGATGCGGACTGTAAAGAGGGCGCAATAAGATGCGCGGGTAGGGTCTTTGATGGAATCCCTCACGGATAGGGCAGGGCAGGGATTTTCTTTCTTATAGGTTGAGCTATTGTCTTCTGCTATGTTCCAGTCGTCCGCGGCATGTGGTGTATGTAAAAGCAAGCTACTGACATCACCTCGGCAGCTATCGGAGCTACGGTTTACGACCCTTCCAGTATAGCCCTACTTAGGTAAGGCACTCAAGGAGCGGGCAGGTAATTTACACTACAATTAGTAATAACGAGGGCTGGCAACTCGCCGTGGGATCAACATCAAGGCATATGAGACAATGGGATATGGGAGTGATGGATGGGTGATTCAGCGCAATCGCCTCCTCTCTCCGAACCCCGGTGGCCGCCCGATAACGCCGAGACCGTGCAAGCCAACCAAGATCCAAGGTGCTGGGCAAGCGGATATATCCGAATGAGGGGAAAGAGCCGATCGGGGAGAGGGCGGAATGCCTCTGGAGGGTTCCGGTGCTCAGCAGCCCATGTGAAGGCCAATCTCCAGGCCACACATAGATAAATCCAGATACACCCCGAGCGGCAAACAGCACAGTTCAGTACGGCTATCGACGAGAGCCAGAAGCGCAATTGGCTATCTAACTAGTTGATTCGCCATACCACCAGTGACTCACGGAACCGATAGAGGTCGATGACGCCTTCGGAACCTCCACACACTTCTGTGCTTGTGGACGGCGTAGAGTAAAGCATATCAAGAGGAGAGTGGGGATACATGAGGAACAATTGTGACATGTATTAATAATTGCTGTCGCGCCTCATAGTCAATTTTCTAGCATCTTTCTTTTCGTATCCTAATTTTCAGTTGCCCAAGCTTTAAAAAATCATATCAGAACCCTCTCATCTTCAATCTCAATGGCTTCTCAATCGGCATCCGCAAGGGCTTCCATCCCTACCCTAAAGCTTAACGACGGCAATGTAGTTCCGGTGGTATGTGACTCCAGTATGGTTGACACATTGAGCGATAAATGAATCGAGAATAAAAGCTCATTCTTTCTCTCGGTCGTGGTGGTCTCAATTAACACATGATTGAAATATAGCTCGGGTTTGGTGTAGGAACCGCGCACTTCAAACGAGGCACCACGGATTTTGATGACAAGGTCCTTGAGGTAGCCAAAATCGCTATCGATGTAGGCTTTCGGCATCTAGATGGCGCAGAAGGTATTTAGCACACTATTCCTAAATACCTGAATAATCCATGAAAAAATCATGAGCAACACCGGCTAACATCTAGTAGCATATGGAAATGAAGAAGAACTGGGCAGAGCTATCAAACAGTCCGGAGTTCCCAGAGAGCAGCTCTTCGTCACGACCAAAATGCATGCTACCAAGCCACAGACCGTCCAAGATGCATTTAATACCTCGTTGACCAAACTTGGCTTAGAATACGTTGACCTCTACCTTCTCCATGGCCCGTGGTACGCCAAAACTGAAGAGGAGCTCCAGGCGAGATGGGCGGACGTAGAGAAGCTCAAGGAGTCTGGCCGAGCCAAGTCGATTGGTGTATCCAACTTTCTCCAGGAGGACCTCGAGAAACTCCTAAAGACTGCCAAAATTGTTCCTGCGATTAACCAAATCGAGTATCATCCCTACCTGCAGCACGGAAGTCTTATCGACTTCCATCGCAAGAACGACATTGCTGTTGCAAGTTACGGGCCTCTGACTCCCCTGACTCGAGCCAAGGGCGGTCCTGTGGATGACTTGTGGACGAAGCTCGCTGCCAAGTATGGAGTGTCTGAGTCTGATATTGGCCTTCGCTGGGTCCTAGACCAGGGGATAGTCGCACTCACTACGAGCTCCAACAGGGCAAGGCTGGAGGGATACTGGTCCAATGTATTCAAGTTCAAGCTGACTACGGAGGAAGTTGAGGAGATCTCTAAGTTGGGTAAACAGAAGAATTTCCGCGCGTTCTGGCATGATAAGTTTGCCAGCGATGATTTCCGATGAAGAACCACATGGTCATCTCTCATCGCCTATTGGAATGGAAACAAATACTTACCTCCATCTCAGATGGATAGTAATAATTGTAAGGGAACAGTGGAACAATGAACGGAATTCTTTTTTTGGTATAAACATTATTTGTCGTGATGCATGAACTGATTTTCAGGGCGATTATAATTCATCGTCCGAATCTGTCTCACTTTCCGTAGGAGCAGGGGCCTTTGCCGGGGCCGCTGCTCTCTGTTTTCCAAACGGTAATGTTCGAGGAGGTGGAGGCTGCGATGCTGTAGTTGGAGGTTTTGTTGCCGGGGCACTACTTTTCCCTTTGCTCGTGGTCTCCTTGATAGGCACATCGTCTTCTTCAGCATCGCTTGTTGTTGAAGCCGTGGCCTCGGTGTCATCTTCACGCT